ACGTCTCTTTGTACGCCACCTGTGTGTGCAAGAACTGACAAAGTACGTATTAACTCAGGGAAGTCCCTGGTCGATGCAAAAAAAATAGTCGGCCGGTTACTGGGACGTCGTTCAGTAGGCCTAGTACTGTGCATAGGTGAGAGATTCAGTGATTTTAAGAATCGATAAACAAATATAACGTTAAAAAATCTGATTTTTTTAAATAGTTATTTCTGATGTAGTCGCAGCTGGAGTCGCAGGCCACCATCAGTTTTAAGAAGCGCAATCACCATCCTGTGCAGCTGTGGTAACATCCAGCACAGCGAATAATTGCTCTCTTTGCTGTTTAAAAGAATCACATGCTAAGACCCATGCTCCGAAAACGTTGTCCATGATCAAAGTAGATGAAATTTTGCATTATACTAAGCTAAATTATATTTACGTTTTATAAAACAAGGTTTATTGATTGAATTTACGTGAATTTTGTGCAAAACATGTTTTTTTTTTGGCCAAATTTCACCGCGAATTTTGACATACAAACGTGTATGGCTAAACCATTGCCAAACCAGTAAAGGTTTTACTGACAACTCGCGATGTGACTGTAATTTATTTATTTATTCAACTGAACATACACTTCTGTTTAAGCAGCACACCTAAATTTGGTGTGTTCAATGTATAAAAGAGAGAAAGAAAAACAACTAAAAATAAGTAATTGTAAAAAAAAATGGGAGAAAGAAAAACAACTAAAAATAAGTAATTGTAAAAAAAAAATGGGAGAAAGAAAAACAACTAAAAATAAGTAATTGTTAAAAAAAAATGGACAGTTCTAAATCGCCGAGTACTCTACTTGTGAGTAACCAGCCGTGCGCAAGGATAAAAAAGATAGGCAGACTACCTACCTAGGTCTAGATTTGATCTTATATTTAGGCCAGAATGTAACACCGACTTACCATGGCACTTAAAGTATATTTGAAGTATGTTTGTGATTTGTAATGCCAATGTACCCTCCTTCACTTTTGCAAAGAAAACGTCAGCGCTATTTTTAGAATCGCCGTGTAGTTCTATGTACAGAGTGGCGTACAAAGCGAATTCCAATGGAACTCGCTTAGCGCATACCGTGCCCTGGACCTCCAGGCACGTTGTCATCATGTAAGTATAGCCACATGTACGTATAAGAAAACAATAGAAAATCGTTCAAACGATCAACAAGCATCCAAACGATTCACCATCGTCCAGACGCGAGCCGTAATTCAAGCGTGTAGCAAGTGAATATTCATATAGCTTGGTAATTACTGTATAATGGTTAATTCCACAGACGCGTTCGTGATAGGGTGTTCACCTAGATGCGTTTTTGTCGTCTGGGATAATTTGGAGATTGCGCCTTGAAGATGTATTGTCCCTTGCTAATGTCAAAAAATAATAAAAATTAATTTTGAAATCAACTTGCTCATTTTGCAATAACATACAAATTATTAACTTGTGATTAGAAATTATTGAATTTAAAAAATGTGTACCCTGATTTTAAACCAGAAAAATATAATAAAAGTAATAAAAGTAAACCGGCTTTGCTACAGTGATTTGGTTCACTCTGCTTGTCCTTGGTCTCCCAAAATTTCAGCTTTTTTTTGCCGCTCTCTTTTTGTTGTTGTTAAATGACCAAATAAATAATTAAATTAAATTAAATTAAATAAAACACTTCCAGTGACTGGAAGTGTTTCTATCATTTTTCGCTGTAAACTGATGGTCAGGCATTTTTTTAATACACCAATGGCTATGTTCAAGTTGATAACTTTGTTACTTCAAGATGGGCAAGTTAATTTCAAAAAATTTTTTTATGAATTTTTTGGTATTTAGCATGGGACAATATATCTTTAAAGCACTGAAGGAGAATAGTTTGTCACAAATATTCTATTATGTGAACACACATTGTTTCTTTTCACAAATGCATGTGAACACATTCTGTTCATTATGCGTTTCATATTTCTATGTGTATTGCAAAAACAAAGAGAACCTAACCATATATCAGCAATAAACGTACACTTCTGGGGAAGCATTAAACGTACTGTAAACTTACTACAAAGAGAACGCATTATGACTTTAGTTGTCTAGAGGTTAGAATGTGGTAGCAGGCCTAATTCCCACCAGGGCAAGCCAAAGACTGTTTAGGGTTACCGGGTTATGAAGTCTACAATGCGCTCTACAACAAGTCTCAAAGAATGTTACAATATAAAATTGGTATCCGATACAGTATCAATCAATTGTGAAACCTGATCTATGAACAGAGTACAGTATTGGTACTTATTTTTAAGCATTGATGTTTAGCAACAGACATTCAAAAGAACAATCTTCACATTAAATGTTTTCGCATTTAATTTTACTTCAGTAGTAGAGATTCTAGATGGCTAGTCAATTCCTATTTACAAAAATATTAGTTGGGTGTTGAGACTTGGTGGGTCAAGTCATAAAAAATAATTTGCCAATAAAACCTGTGACATACACAATTTAGTTGTGGCTCTGGTCAATGAAGTTATTTTTATTTTTTGTGTTCTTAATTTGATAAATTAGTTATGTGTTGTCATATTTTATTTACAATATATGGCAGATTACCTAGTCACAGGGGTGGTGCCAGGATTTGCCAGACAGGGCGTCCAAGGTCCCTGAGAGAGTTTGCCACTGATAGAAAGGGGGTGGAATCTCTGATCATAAAGGGTATAAATGCTATATCTACAAACAACGAATAATCGAGCAGATGATGATCATGATTATGGCCATTAAAAGACATCTACTATTGTCACTGATAAGAAATGAGTATCTTTTTACATTAATGGGAACAAAGGATACAAAGCGAGGTATTCTTGTTGTTAAGCTTTGCTATACGATCTGGGGTATGCATCAGATCTTTCGTGATAAGAACTGTCAGCTTGATACATAAAGACCAATTTTCAAAGTGCTCACTATTTGTGTTTTTGACAATTTAATTTTAGGGTAGAAGTATTGTTAACACACTAGGAATACCGTGTTATCTATTACACAATTGGTAAATTTAAGGGATGTATTCATACTAAACAACAAAGAAGAGTACAAGAAATACACTGGTTTCCTTATACGATGCACAGTAACAATAATAATAAATGACTAGCTTACCATGCAGAGTAAGCCAATTCATACTTAAAGTAAGTCATGCAAGGCTTGTCTGTGCTATAATATTAAAATATAGGTCTTTCATTCAGAAATAAAATCGACCATAATTCTGTCTAATTCTGCAACAGGTACATAATTGACTTCTATTATTGGAGAATTTGAATTGGGTTTTTTGGGATCTATATAAATGAATGTTTCATTTTGTGTCTCACTGGAAGGATTGGAAAATTAGTTTTTCTATAGAAATGCCAGTTTCCATAAAATCGCTACAATACCACTAACAGTGTTTTTACTGCAATTGTTGCACTAAGTATCTGTCAAGAATGCAATCGAGAAGGCTCTCCAATTTGACCAAATCAGCTTTGCCGAAAGCTGTCGGTGATAGCATGTTGTGATTTTATCGAAACCAGGCTTATTGCAAACAGGCATGGGCCTATGAGGCGTTAATATACTGTTCAACAAGCACAACATTCACCCATTTAAAGTTAGGCCTCATTGAATGCAAGTAAAATTACTTCTGTAAAAATATACTACCCAATACACATTAAATAGCATAAGGACAATTATCTGCAATAACACTTTAATACAAAAATACATACAAGCATTATTTGTAAAAGAATTCTTTATATGTCAAAGCAATTTTTCTCATAAGGAAATAAAACTTGGATGGTAGCAATTTCTTTCATTCTTTACTATAATTTAATTACCATAGGAATGAATACCTCATAAATTCAAACATTTCAAACAATTTAATCTTGTTGATAAACACTTCCCCTCTCGATCAGCAAGATGCCTCCCACTCACATGCACCTACAGTACACACACCCACATTGAGAAACCAGGACACAAACGTTACTGTTTGCATTATGATTTATAGCCTTAACCGGGATTCTCAAGATATCTCTTATTTTCACTATTTCACAAAATATAAATACACCCACATACTATTGGATATGGTACCTCACAAACAAATTGATAATGAAAATATGCACCCAGTCTTTGGATTCCAATTTTCCAGCTCTCTACATTCCACTCCCAATTTCCTTCTTATCCCAACTGCAACTCAGTATTTCATACCTTTTTCAAAATACTGTACCAAGATGGCATCATTACAACATGAAACCAACAACTTGTGCCCCATCCGATGGAGAAAATTATAATAAAAATTCCTTAATAAAGATTGGTGGCATATCTAGGAGTATTAAGGGCTGATGGAGAGAAGTGCACCACAGGTTTGAAGAAAAAGTATCAGCCACCACCAGACTTTTTAGCAAATTTTAACACTTTTCCGAAGCTCGTTGGGAGTGTATGTGATCACATTGACATGTACAGTAGTGAATACTACAAGAACTACAAACATTTTAGCTTTACAGTGGTACCAAATACTTCATTCTAATCACTGACCAGTAACTGTAAAATGAAAATGACTCACTTTTGGAGATTTAAGCACAACGAAGCTGAGATAATAGCGATTTTGTGAAAGTAAAGCAATACCGCTCTACACTAATACAAACAAATTGTGAAATACTTATGGTCCAGACTGAACAGTGTTCAAATTGTTAGTACATGTCGGTAATTACCCCATCTATCGGATTCCATAAAAAAACCTGAAATACGGAGATCTCCGTGTTTGGTGGTCAAGCATGCGTTACTAAACACGGAGATCTCCGTGTTTGGTGGGCAGAGTGTTAAGGGAAGCAGAGAGCTTGAGGATTAAGTGAGGAAGAGCTGTCTGACAAAAAAAGTAATATGTTGTAATTTTCAACTGCAGGACTATAATTTTTTTGTCAGGGAATTTCCAGTGGGAGTGGGGAAGGGGGATGAGGGTGAACAAGATTTAATGTGAGTACTATACCACTGCTCAAGATATGAATAGTTACCTTATACATTCCCGCTCCTTGTAGAAGATGCCACCACCACAGGTTCTACTACAGACACTCCAGCCACCCCATGCTCCATACCCTTTGCTAGGTGGTTCATTAGTCTACAGAATCAGTAATAATTTAATATTAAGAATATATTTAATTTATAGACCACAAAATTCCAACATAAAAATACAGAAACAAATACATAAATAAATAAAAGGTTTACATTTGGCAATTTATATTGCCTTTCTAACAATATGAGACATATTAATTGTGGTGGAAGAACAGTTCCAATCAAGACCTCATTACATAAGCTGATGATTAAAATTTCATTAGTATTTTTTACCTTAACTAATAAATCACAATAGAAAACATTAATATAAATAATGATGATGTTGGTGATAATGTTTGTTGATAATGTTGATAATGGCAATGAAGAATAATTATCAAAGGATGATGAGGATGATGTAATGTACTTGTAGAATGAAATAGACAATAGGGACTATAATAAGCAGGCCTACAAATATAAATTTTATAATTATATACAGTATACACCCCATTTATAAAGTAACATAAAAAGAGATACCACATAGAAAATCTCTTTGTTTGAGATTGTGACACTTGATCATACATAATATGATATAACATAAAAATAAATTCTAAAACATTTCATATACTCTAATTCTTATTACCATGTATACATGCAGTGCTAAAAAAAATGCCTTATATAAATAGGGGATTCCCCAGGTATAAGTCCATTACCCTTCCCTCCCCCCACCTCCACCAAACAAATCAGTCTAATTTTGTGTTCAAAGGGGATGGGCTTATACCAGAGTGACCATATAGGTATAGAGTGATTATGGTAGATATTCCCTTCTTGAGTACTCAAATCTTTCCAACTAAACTACTTTCTTACAGCAGTGTCTGATCAGTAGCGCTGTGGTCAAGACCCTGGGGTCTATTCAAAACATGTGGCACACATAAACGTGTTAATGGTTACCACAACGTGTTAATGATTACAACCAATTATTAAACAATTACTGCTTGCCTAATAACCACTTCCCTATACAGTATTACTATAGAATCAAAACATATTCTAATACCCATTGTTGTTATAGCTGTGAAGTAAAACTTTGATATTGAATTACACAAGTATTTTTTTTTTGTTTTTTTTTGCTTTGTTTTAATCTTGCCATTTCATATAGCAAAGAAAATATCACAGTTTTCTAATTGGACAAATGATATGTCTATAAATCATAAATATAGTAGATGACAAAAAATAGACCTACAGTAAATCAGCAGATGACAAAACATGTAACGGCAGACAACGAAACATAAATCAGCTGTTATTATTATGCTACCACAATTGAGTGTCCTAGTTGTTCATAAGTGCACTTCTACATTTGTCAAACTATATTTAAGCTACATAAAAAAAAAAGGCTTAACTTAAGTTATATCAGATTACAGTCTACATTGCTTTTGATCGTAAAAACCAAAGCTTACTTTTAACCAACCATACTTTTAAGTGTTTTAAGTGCACATTCTAATATTTTACATCTAAATTTTAACTTTTGAGCTCATGACATTACATTTCATTTATAGAATAAATACAATCAATCAAAAATTGTTTTGGAATGGACTTCCATGTAACAGACCTATAAAGGTACAGTACAACATATTTTTTTAAGGGATAGTATTGTTCATTAAGAAATTTATGCCACTTCAGAAAAATCTTTAAATTTTTACCACTCAGTTACTACCGGTACATAACATACTGCAGCTTAAGGGACAAGAAAATTTTGAAATATTTCCATGCTAAGATGAAGTGTAAGAAGAAGGGGGTAGTTAGGAAAGTGATTACATGCTGTATAATGTAAAAGTCAGTTTGAAAAGGTATTTTGAAGGCTGTTTCACGCATAAACTCAGTAAATTAGTAATGTTTGTAACAATATAAACTTATGGGGTTAAACTACTTATTGAATTTATATAACATCTTTAGAAACATGATTAGAAAAACACATCACTGAGAAAACACTTATACCCTATATTTAGATTACATTCTGTTGCGATCAGTTGCGATGCAATCGGTGGTAATCCAAAACTGATTACTCCCGATCGCAATCAATAAGAGCATTCAGGCCAAATTAGACACAAAAAACTTTATATTGGAAAGGAGATCAAACAGTATTAGGCCTCCAGTGGCAAGAACTATGTTGACTGACCTCAGCCAATCAGTGCTTGTAGAATTTGTTGTGATTCGTTGCAATTAGATTCTGTGGTAATCAGGAGTAATGAAGATTATTTGGACTACTACTGGTGTGCTTTCACACACAATTGTGAACAACAAAAACACAATATTTAATTATAATGGCTAACATAAATGAAATTCAGCACTTTTTGAAAAAAAATTGTGATCAGTCAGACGAAACCACACCCCCACGGTTGTATGTGCAAGATATCGCTATTGCCCCTTTTCAATCCCATTATGCTTCACCCTTCCTAAATTTAATCCCAAAATTATCCCATATAGAATACTGTAGAATCTGAAGCTGTTGAAATATACAATGCATACCACTGTTAGAAATCTGATATGGTTTTGAGAAAAAATAAGCAAACACCTGAAATCAATAGAATTCAAAATCCATTCCCAGCTTAAATCTTTCCTGTGTTTTGGAAGGGAAAGAGGTTGTTTTATTATAAAAATGACAAAAATATTATAACAATATTCAGCTAGTTGTAGGATATCTAGAAGCATTAGATTGAAATAACAGATTTACAGACATTTTTACTTAGATATTAACCAATCAAAGAAACATGAGCAGTCTTCTTAAATACCATGCATCTATCAATTGGCAGCATTTACAATTAAAATTAAGTAACTTACATTAATATAAATTGTATTTTTCAAATTCTTAAGCTGAACCCAGACCTGTAGTACAATTCATAACACCAACTGATCATTATGATACCTGTACCTGTATAGGACCTACTTCAAATTTCTTTGCTATTAAGGAAACTATCACATCAGTTAATTCATATACAGTAAAAATATATACGTCTTTTAGGCCTCGTTCAGACTAGGTGGATAAACCTGGCTCAACTCACCGAGTTTATCCATGTGCCAGTCTGAACTAGGTGGCTTATCTGAAGCCGGGTTGTTTTCCTATAGTAACTAGGCCTGGCGTGCCACCGTGCATATCTTTTCTAAGCCAGGCTTTAAGCGCTGCGGGGGTCCTGCGTTGACTTCGGGCAAACAAATGACCAATCAGCATTCAATTATGTGTCCTGGTTACGGTTTATTAATATGTAAATACTAGCGCCAGGCTAATCCCGCTAGTCCAAACACACAGGAAAGTTAAGCCGGTCTAAACATTGAGCCAGGCTCAACGTAAGTCTGGCTTATCTCCAAGTCTGAACATAGCCAAAAATTGTTATGGATTTTGTGGTGCTTTAAATTGTTATTCAAGGTTGGAATTAATGTATTCACACAAAACTGGAAGCTACATAAATATTCCCCATAGGAGTCATTCACACTGTATAAATAATATAATTACAATAACATTCCATTTTTATAGCACTTGCCTTTAACAATTCAGAGACTTAACTTGCAACATTATCAACTCCGGCCATTGGCAACATACATAATGTGTAACCTGCTCTATTCTCTTGAGAGTAATAATAATAACATACATACAGATCATGTGTCAAGGATCTGGCATGAGACTCATGCTTTCAGACCCAATCTCAAACGATTCACATTAAAACAATACGAAACATATTACATTTCTTGATATTAGCCTATTATTACAATTATCTTCCCTTGGTAGCCCAATATTGTAGATGTTTTTTTGTGTGCAAAACTTTCAATTCCCAAATTATTACACTTTTTCAATGTCTGAGAATGCCATTTCCAAACATCTTAGGGTTATAAAAATAGAAATGCTAGGTGCACTTTTGCTAGGGGCACTTATGTATTGATGCCCAAGTGCATCCAATAAATAAGTGCCCCTACCCAAGGATATCCAATAAATATGGACAGCTTATGATTTGAACCATCAGACTGAAAACTGAGCAAAGATACCATGACACCAATTGCTTCCGCAAACATCACATAGTGAACAACCTGTTGCCACTCCAATTTCCTCTTTGCTATAGTCTTCCGATATATACCCATGGAAACCTTATTCCTTAATTGTCTTTATAGATGTATTTCTAAAGACCAAGTTACTGTACACAGCTAGCTGCTTTAGGGAAAGCTTCTATACCCAATTATTATCTACCGAATCAAATGGCCAAGCAGTTAGCAGAGACGCCGCAACCTACAGCCATAACACCGGCGCTGGTTCAAACGGCACACTTGTCTGGTTCTGGAGGTGGAACATGTCTTCTTGGATAAAGACTATAAACCGTAGGCCCAGTTTATACAATGGCTTGTGTGCACTATAAAGAACCCAGTACATCATTCAAGACGAGTAGGGGCATACCCCGGTGTACTGGAACAGACAGCCCTGATGTGGTGGCTTACAAGAGTTGCTGTACCGGGTTACCAGGTAGCACAAACACGAAGGACCCTTAGGGACGAAAAAGTCATTGTTCCTACACATTAAGCGCCCTGGGCGTCTTATTTAATGGATACGGCGCTATGTAAAACAACATTATAATTACATTATTATTACCTCCCCACTAGGATAGTACTGTTTGTGGCATACTACATGAAATAAGGTATATGTATCATATACTACATGAAATAAGGTATGTATCATATACCTCATGAAATAAGGTATATGTATCATATTCTACATGAAATAAGGTATATGTATCATATAGGAAGTGAACCAGACTGTAAGGTGCAATTAAAGTTCTTGATAGTCTCTCAATAGAAAACTATGTAAACAAACGATAATAATTTCCTTTCCTACAGTTGATGCCTGTCCAAACAATATCCTATAATAAGTGACGAAGAGACAACATTATCTGTACTGATTAAAATAGATTTGAAATATTATTTATCAACTTCAAATTACATCAAAGAGTATAGCATAGCAAGGTCCAACTAACCTCATTTTGCACGCACACAATGAAACTGAAAAACGTACTAACTGGAGTTCGAAATTTGAGCACACGTTCAATACACACAACTTTTACGTTCTTTTGAAGGGGCGTCTTTACTTAATGGTAGTACTTTTCGAAGTAGGATTCTGTTTCAAAGGAACCCCGCCAGTCGGACCTCTTTCTATTCTATACTCTTTGTTTATGTATTTATCGGACACTCTTGTTGATTAACCCTTTTTTTCTCTCTTTCAAGGGTGCATCCCACCTTACTTCATTTCAATCATCACAGAATAATGCTATGCACATTTTGTAAATGATATGACTAAAAATTAAATTAATAAAATTCTTTATTGTTTTCTACCCAGTGTATTAATCTCTGTTTTTTCAGCTCCGATGAGGAGCTCTAGGAGTACCGTGCTGATTGGTTGGTAATAGATCTTTTTTGTATTGGTGGCCATTAGGGCCAAGTATTTTTATTATTATTATTAGCGGGAAATTATTATTATTAGTTTTGATATTAAAAGCTCTAAAAACACTCGGCTGATTAATTCGCCGCCAGTTCTGAACGGCGGACGTGCAGTAAATTTTCTACACATAAACTAAATGCGATTTCCAACAAACGTTAACGGCCCTTTTTAAGTTATTCAAATTACTATCAATTTTTTAAACTCTTTAATTGATAAGATAAAGTAAATCACTAAATAGCATTGGAAGAAACATACCTCTTCAGATGATGTGATAGATGAGGTAGTGATAATTAGACATATGATAACTGTTGAATAGTACCTGCATAATAATAAGGAAAAATAATTAAAATTAGAAAACAAATGACATGTATTATTATTTAAAATATTCTAGATAGATTATTTGAATACATTAGGAATAACCCATTATTTTAAAATAGTGCTAAGTTTGTAGGTGTACATCACACCTTCTCCTCAAGTTAGTGTTCGGAGAAAATTAAACAAAATTCCACTTTCCAGTGGCAGAGTTGGCCTACAATGATAGTATGGTAGTACAATGCAAAGCGTACTTCAATACAGAGTTCTTGGGTTGGGTTCAATTTTCTCAGTCCCAAACATAGTTGGGACTGAGGTGGTCTATATCCTCTATCTCTGAAACCCACCCCCACCATCCCCAGGCCACTCTATTACAAATTTGTGGATCCACCACCGACTTTTAAAAGAACCAGTTAATAATCTTCAATTTTTTAACAGACTAACACTCTAAATTGAAGTTTCAGGCCCAAAAGTGGTCTCAAATTAGAGGGCAAACTAAGTATATTTACGCATGATTTTTGTCAAGATAATACAATCATTAGAGGCCTAGTGATTCCTGATGATGACATTATTAATGTCGAAATATTGAATCCCAACACGATGGCGTGTATTTCAATACTTGGAGTATGTATTATACTTTCTTATCTGAGATTAATCAGTGGACCTTTCGGTTAGAGGCCTAGTCTCCACTTAAATACCACTTATGGACAGGTTTTCATGGTCTTCAAAAGCTTTGGTCTCTAATAAATTACATGTGTTAATTACATGTGTTAATTTAAGACCACAGAAAAGTGGTCTTTAATTAGGGGTGGTCTTTAATTTCGCATTTTCCATGCTGCAGTACACATGTCCGATCAATGACAAAAAATGCTGAGCAGCGAAGCGTAACCAACAAAAATAACATAGCGTTTCAGCCATATTTTCAGAGGTCATGTTACTCAACAAATCATAAATATTTAACGGAGGGTTTTATCAACATATTTTTTTCTTTAAAATGTTCGCAAACGACATATGTATTTTGACGTGCTTTCTTCATTTCACAAACTAACACAACCTACTTTGATTGTGTTAGTTTGTGATGTGGGCGTCGATTTGTTTAGTCTGTCAAAACTTAACTGGAAAATAGATGACAGATTTTGTATAGTGTGTGTTGCTATTATTTCAATTAAGTGTTAAAAGAGTCTTTCATTATAGGGATGCCTGTTCTTACATTTGTTACCTTTTGTTATTTTTAATCGCTGGATCAAATTGCCTGATTGAATTTATATTCTATTTTCATAATGGATTTTATCTCAAAATGGTGACATGTTATTATGTCTCTAATCGTCCGAATTAGGCATCTAATTAAATAAAATACATTAGCTTTGGGGATTCCCCCAACCCCACCATGAGTTCTGCCCCTGGACTTTGCTGGGAGCCTCAGCTGCCCCAGACTCCCACTCTTGGGGCCTCACAGCTTTGCTGACCTGAAGCCCAGGGCCTACTACCGTAGTCCTCGAATAGAAGCCCTGGAATTTTTGTAAACTTTGGATGAGCTTCTTTTCAAGGCTGCTTTTGCAAAGTAAATAGGAGGGCTTCTTTTTATTTAGAATGAATGCTGAAAGTTTTGGGAATTATTACTATAAAACAATAAATAGCTACTATGGCCACTGTAACATCAACCTGTACCATAGAGTGTATTCACTGGCATTAAATCACTTAAACAAATGTATGCTTCAAGCGTGTTTTTAATTTATTCTGTTTCCTTGAAATTTTTCATTGGTTTTACAGTACACTATATAAATGAGGAGGAACAGAAAATGGGCTAGCCTAGACCCCGGCCTAGGCCTAGTTTAGGCCCTATTCTACACTAAATAAAATAAAATTTTGGCAATCAAAAAGAGGGACTTTCTTCCGTTCCGCCTAACGATCACAAATTGTGAAGTCTCAACTTACCTAGGACTACTAATCCCACACCAAGTTAGCTCCATATTTTTAATAAGTTATACAACGGACGAGTACTGCGGACCAGGTGGAACCTTCTTCAATCAAATAATGAACACAGTATCCTAGCCTAGAAAGACATCAAACACGAGAACAATCAGCGCTAATTTATACCGCACCAACGAAAGACCTGACTGAACATATAGGCATAGGCTATTTGAAAAAAATAACTTCGAAAAATAATTCACGAACTACAATGGTTATGACTAGCTAGGCTACTATTCCTTTGCGAACTTCACACTTCCACCATCGACGTACAGTGTAAACCAACAAACACATGCATACGCAAACATACACGTACACCTGCATCAAAGAGTATGCATGCTCAAAACAAATTTCTAAATAGGCCCACCACGTACAAAGCTGTTATGCTTAGGAGTCGTCGATTTATGGGTGGGTTTTTGGAGATTTAATCAACTGTACAATCAACGTGAGTGCAAATATACGCATATCAAACTCATTTTTAAAATACCAATATACAAAATTATTAATCAAATCGGTGTTTAATGTGTTGGTATTTCAAGAAATATAATAACAATATGACGCTACCTATAATTAAAATGTAGGAATCCTGAGATAAAGTTTTGTTGGCCGTAAGATGGCGCTATACACTTTTGTGATTTTTCATTTATGGTCGAATATTTCAGATTCAGATTCATACATACTGTACATATGTTTTTTCCTGGGTTATTAGTAGTAACGGGGGCGGCGCCAGCTAGGGTCCAGGGGCAAAGGACCCCTCGTCGGAGACCTCTGGACCCCCGCTTGGACCCCCTGTCAGGGAATTTCCAACAGTATAGGGCCTATACAATATTATACACAATGGATGAACAAGAAACAGATGCAAAAATTACCTAATACATGTAAAATTTGCCAAACAGATAGCATGCATTGTGGCCGGAAGAAAAGAGTTTCTTAGGTATTTGTTTTGTTAATTAATGTGATAATTCTTCCAGGTCGGCTAAAGCTAATATTGCTGGTTAGTGGGTAATTTTTTTCATTAATTATTACATTATGTTAAAGTGAGCATGACCTTTTCAAATCATTTAGTTGTTTACCGTACTTATTCATCACTGCCCAGGAGATGCAAAAGCAGAAACCCACTGTTACCGGAAGGACGTGCGACTCCCTCAAACAATACATTAACAATGAATATAGGCTTAAGTAAGCCAAAGCAAAAAAAGAAAAAAGAAAAAGAAAGGAACGATTAAATAATTATGATTACAATGAAAAAGATCCTTAAGCTGCTTCAAGTTAAAAACTAAATTATTCACAGAAAAAACCAAGTTTAATATCGTCGGGCAATGAATTCCATAGTCTAACAAAATGGGTTGCCATCTACTTCAATTCCTACTTACTAATAATAACAGTTACAGTTATACCAACTGTTGGTGGTAACATCAATAAAACACCTGAAATAATAATTATATCAATAAAATAAGTTGTCTGAATGCTACGAGACAGATTATTATTGCTGATTAACATTCTTTTGACTACCGGTACTTCCCTTATATTACCAGCCAATTTGATGGTCTACACAATGAATGTAGGAACGGTGTATATTTATGCGTAAATTAATTAACAATAATACTGTCTTATTCTAATTTTACATTGAAATTTAATTAGCAACAGTTTCTTAGCGATTAGTTGGTTAAAACATGGACCTATTAATAAGTCCATGGTTAAAATATGATTGTTATAGGAACTTCTTAGAGACTTCGACCACCCTTTTCTTTAGAAAACAGCATTGTGATATCGGTATAATGCACTATTTTAAGTCTCATTACCTTTACTAAACTGTAAAAACAGCGTGGAGCATTTTTACACAAAGCTCCACGAAATGTTGTCCCGTTTTTTGGTGACGTTTAAAAGCTAAACGTGTTTAGGCCAGGCCTAATGTGTTTAGGTTAGATGTGTATAAGAGACAGATTCTAGATAGATTATTTGGATCACAAATTGTGAAGTCTCAACTTACCTAGGACTACTAATCCCACACCAAGTTAGCTCCATATTTTTAATAAGTTATACAACGGACGAGTACTGCGGATCCGGACCGGGTGGAATCTTCTTCAATCAAATAATGAACACAGTATGACTATCCTAGCCTAGAAAGACATCAAACACGAGAACAATCAGCGCTAATTTATACCGCACCAACGAAAGACCTGACTGAACATATAGGCATAGGCTATTTGAAAAAAATATCTTCGAAAAATAATTCACGAACTACAATGGTTATGGCTAGCTAGGCTACTATTCCTTTGCGAACTTCACACTTTCACCATCGACGTACAGTGTAAACCAACAAACACATGCATACGCAAACATACACGTACACCTGCATCAAAGAGTATGCATGCTCAAAACAAATTTCTAAACAGGCCCACCACGTAAAAAGCTGTTATGCTTAGGAGTCGTCGATTTATGGGTGGGTTTTTGGATATTTAATCAACTGTACAATCAACGTTAGTGCAAATATACGCATATCAAACTCATTTTTAAAATACCAATATACAAAATGTTTAATCAAATCGGTGTTTAATGTGTTGGTATATCAAGAAATATAATAACATATGACGCTACCTATAATTAAAATGTAGGAATCCTGAGATAAAGTTTTGTTTGCCGTAAGATGGCGCTATACACTTTTGTGATTTTTCATTTATGGTCGAATATTTCAGATTCAGATTCATACATACTGTACATGTTTTTTCCTGGGTTATTAGTAGTAACGGGGGCGGCGCCAGTGAGGGTCCAGGGGCAAAGGACCCCCCCCCCCGTCGGAGACCTCTGGACCCCCGCTTGGACCCCCTGTCAGGGAATTTCCAACAGTATAGGGCCTATACAATATTATACACAATGGATGAACAAGAAACAGATGTAAAAATTACCTAATACATGTAAAATTTGCCAAACAGATAGCATGCATTGTGGCCGGTAGAAAAGAGTTTCTAGGTATTTGTTTTGTTAATTAATGTGATAATTCTTCCAGGTCGGCTAAAGCTAATATTGCTGGTTAGTGGGTAATTTTTTAAATTATGTTAAAGTGAGCATGACCTTTTCAAATCATTTAGTTGTTTACCGTACTTATTCATCACTGTCCAGGAGATGCAAAAGCAGAAACCCACTCAGGGGCGGATTTAGGGGGGGGCGGCCCGGCCCCGGTCCCCCCTTTTGGGAGGTAAAAAAAAGAAGAAAAAAAAGAAAAAAAGAGAGAAAAAGAAAAAAATGATAGCCCAGAATGCCTCAAATGTTATGTTCGGGCGTCTAGAACACAAAAATTTCGCGGGGGCATGCCCCGGACCCCCCTACGACAGTGTTGTCTCAATCGGCCCAACTTTCGCGCCCACTTCCGGCCCCCCCTTTTGGACATTTCTGGATCCGCCCCTGCCACTGTTACCGGAAGGACGTGCTACTCCCTCAAACAATACATTAACAATGAATATAGGCTTAAGTGAGCCAAAGAAAAAAAAAAAAAAGAAAGAAAGGAACGATTAAATAATTATGATTACAATGAAAAAGATCCTTAAGCTGCTTCAAGTTTAAAACTTTAAATTATTCACATAAAAAACCAAGTTTAATATCGTCGGGCAATGAATTCCATAGTCTAACAAAAACGGGTTGCCATCTACTTCAATTCCTACTTACTAATAATAACAGTTACATTTATACCAACTGTTGGTGGTAACATCAATAAAACACCTGAAATAATAATTATATCAATAAAATAAGTTGTCTGAATGCTACGAGACAGATTATTATTGCTGGTTAACATTCTTTTGACTACCGGTACTTCCCTTATATTACCAGCCAATTTGATGGTCTACACAATGAATGTAGGAACGGTGTATATTTATGCGTAAATTAATTAACAATAAGAATACTGTCTTATTCTAATTTTACATTGAAATTTAATTAGCAATAATTTCTTAGCGATTAGTTGGTTAAAATAAGATTGTTATAGGAACTTCTTAGAGACTTCGACCACTCTTTTCTTTAGAAAACAGCATTGTGATATCGGTATAATGCACTATTTTAAGTCTCATTACCTTACCACTAAACTGTAAAAACAGCGTGGAGCATTTTTACACAAAGCTCCACGAAATGTTGTCCCGTTTTTTGGTGACGTTTAAAAGCTAAACGTGTTTAGGCCAGGCCTAATGTGTTTAGGTTTCTGACGTGTTTAGCATTAGGCCTAAATGTGCTTAAGTATTTGACATCATGATGTCAAATACCTAAGCACATCGAATGCTAAACACGTCAAGATCCTAAATACATTAAGCTATGTCTAAACACGTTTAGCTTTTAAACGTGTCACCAAAAACGGGACAAAATTGCGTGGAGCTTTGTGATTAAATGTGTTTTACAGTGTACAATACAATAAAATACAATATAAATAATAATCATTTTAAATAAGCCTAACAATTTTAAACCTACCTATTTTGGCTCGATAGAGTGCCTGCTAACATTAAATTATTTGTAAAACTGAAGCGCTTATTTATTCATGAGAAAAATATCCACAATCGTTTACTTCACCTTTATAAATAAACAATGAACAATATAATTTCGGCACGTAAAGTACCGATGAGATAGGCTAGGCTTGTGGGCCTCATATTACATTTTTGCTGAAGGGCGCCTCCAGCCGTCTGATCCTCGATCCGTCGTTCTTCTTAATTATATTTATATTTATATTACGCCCATGAGAATTGGATTTGAGGGAGCGTTAATGCGAGGGAGGCGTTTATTTGAGGGAGACTGTAATTTATTTATTTTTATTTTTTGTTGTAAAATGGATACATAATATACTCAAATAAACGCCCATTAATTTAATTGTAAATGTGGTACAACACATCTTTAGGCCTACCATCGAAATGTGTTATTGCGTGATCATAGAGACTTATTCATCCTAACCAGGTTAGAAATAAAATGTAATTCTACTGGAGTGGGTACAGCGTGAATAGAAGGTGTTGCTTTCATTAGATTTGTTCACAGTCACCATAAGGAGGCATTTATTCGATGAAAAAATGAACGCCCCGGGATGTTTATTCGAGGGAGGCATTTATTCCAAATGACGCTCTAGAGTGGGCGTTTGTTCATTCGTGGTGGGGGTGGGGGGCGTTTATTCGAATAGTTAATAACAAAATGGAGAGATAAGTGCGGATAGAACGTTGAGGGCAAACACCGCAATGCAAACACATGGCGGACGCGTCACTGATGATGATGATGATTGTTACTATTATGGGCCTACATATTATTTAACAATAGGCCTAATAAATATTCAAGTACATATAACGTTGTCTTTAGAACGACTAAAACTAATTCTTCTAATGACTATTTTGGCTTTGAAACAAAAGCGTAATAGATTCTAACAAAAACTAAAAGTTATAACTAATAGTACTGTATTTATTTTATATTATTATTATAGAGAGAAGCGCCTTCACTATAATAATAAATACAAATGATGGAAAATATGCTACTATGAAAATTGAAAGAAAGGTAGGATTCAGACCTACTCCATATGAATGTCATCTCTAAGGGATTATTTTTGTTTACGTGATGAATTTTTATTTATATGTTATTCTAGTCCTGCTGTTGTCGTTTAGGCCTATATATTTTTAATTTATATCGTTTATTCAGAAATAAAAGATAACCTTTTTTTTTTTACTAAACTGCTTACGTAAAATTGGCCTTTAAGAATGAATGCAGACTATAGAATTGTACTATAGTATTTAAACACCCGTTTTTTAAGCGCAGATTTGTTTTCTCTCGTTAAATTTTCAATTGACAACAATATCTTACTAAAGGCAGGACTATCAATTAAAAACGGTAAGCAATTCATTTAGTAGGCAAATTTTAATAAACAAGTAATCTTGAAAACGTGAAAATTATTGTGTATTTTGTTCAGTACCGGTATTGAATTACCCGATGATGAGACTGAGACTTGCATGTAAAATGCTAGCTGAAGCATCCACGATTTGTGTAGGGTCGGAGCTAAGCTGATCGATGCCCTCATAAGAGCAATTTTTAGAAAATCGCTTTTGTAGAATTAACAACAAATGCGAATTTTTGTAAAATTATCGTTTTTTAAGAGTGAAACTGACACATGCTTCTATAATAAATGGGCCTTATAATTCTCAGGCGGACCAAGGGGTTTGTAAATAGGCGCTCCCTCTCGGAGGAATGAAGAACGAGCGTGTAGGTCTATTATAGTGTAGGAGGCTTGCGCAAAAAGGGAAAATTTAATGTACTAAAAGTCATGTCGCGCCGAGTAGGACAAAATGCTACGCACTTTATGCATTAGTGTGACATATTATAGTGTTAGATAAGTTAATTTTATAATGATGAACTGCTTCCCACATGTACAGATTAAACAGACCGTGTTATTTTGGGATAACTTATAGGCCTATTTGGTCGGTTGCAGGGGTTGAAGCATTAATTCCGAGAGAAGATTAAGCTTACGCAAATAATAATTTAAACCACTTAGGCCTTTATTCTTAAAACTCAAACCGTATTTGAATCATTCATATAATATCTTAAAGTTCGCCAAGTTTGATTGGCAGACAAAAGATGTCAAACGAGGTTAGAACCCAGAGTTCCAGGTAATGATTAGCTTTAGTGACCATTGTCGGCAGAATAATAATGGTATACTCAAGTCATTCACCGGCGGCGCGTCGACTGTGGTAACCAAGCAACGAAATGACGCAGTACAATGATTATTTGATATAAATAAGAACACGTCAACCGATCGCTAAGATAGCCAACCTGCGGATTAATATAATGTAGTCAAGATCAAGAGATTGATTAGGCAGATGGTAACGCGGAGGTACATCAAAAATGAAGGCGGTGGGAGTCCTTGGTAGGTGAACATCCGCACGGACTTTATATTACGTTTAAGCTTCAATATAAAATTGCAAGTGCGTAAACTATAACAATTTATGTAATTTAATTATCGTTTCGTGATCTAGACGAAATGGCGCTAAAATTGAATTATTAAAGGGAAGTAGGCCCTAACAGGCCTATCATAATATCATACTCAATCAAATTAATCAATATAGGCCTACATTATCATAATAGATATACGTATAATAGGACTTTTTGCTTTTGTTAAATCAAAGTTAAAACATTTACAGAAACCTGATAATAACCACTTCGAGATAATATATAGCCGTGCCATTCTATTTTGAACAAAAAATTAAAGGAATGGGCCACCTTATTAAATATTTAAACGTGCCTTGATGTTACCTTATCATCAAGAAACAAAACAACAAATTCTTCACAAACTTATAATTCAAACAAAAATTAATTATTAACAATATAAATCTAATGATCATTCAATGAAAAATATGCC